AATGTTTTTTCTCATCGGTGAAAATGTTTTAACTTTTTTAAATAATAAAATGCAACAAAATATGAAAATGCAAATAGAAAAAGCAAAGATCCAGGAGAACAACCGTTTCCATGCTTCGTGTTGTTTTGGTTTTCAGAGATGGGGAATTCCGCAGCGGAGTGTGACTGATGGAAGTAAAGCCAGCGTCCACTCAGCTGATCCCGACGATCACAGACGTCTGGTAAGAAAATCACAGACGTTATTTAAAAGTGAAAAAACACGCAGGACTGAGTTAATGTCTCCCCCTACAGGCTCCTCATGGAAACACATTTAAATTCACCACATCCACACAAAAGAAAACATGAGCGGAGGTGGAGGAGGAAGTGAGACTGATGGTTCATCTTTTATTCAGTCAAATAAAGAACTGCTTGATATGGAATTTAAAATATTTGGATCCCAGTTAATTAGTCCCAGTTAATTGATCTCCGTTAATTGATCCCAGTTAATTGATCTCAGTTTGTGTGTGTGCAGGTGGTTCCGTTCAGGGGTCACATCCCAGGTGGGATGCGGCCGGGGAAGAAGGTGGTGGTGGTGGGCGTGGTCGACTCTCGTCCTGACAGGTAAACACACGCTGATGTTTCCTGGTAGAAAGTTTTCGGAGAATAATCGGGCGTTTACGTTTTCTTCAGTGACGCAGTTTTCTGAACGTTCACAAGTTCACTGCAAACAGGAAATGCTAATCGCTGATTCAGCATCGCTTCCATGACGACACTTTCCCAAAATACAAACACATCAAGAGTTAAAATCAAATCAAATAAGAGTAACTTCCTGAGTCTGACCATTCACACGTGTGGGGGTTGTTCCTCAGGTTCTACGTCGCCCTGACATGTGGCCGGGGGACGTCCGGGGAGCCTCCGCCTGATGTCGCCCTGGAGCTCTGCGTTCGATTCCCAGACCGACAAGTCCTGCGACGGGCGTGTGTGTCCGGCTCCTGGGGAGACGTCGACAGATCTGTTCCCTTCTTCCCCTTCATCAGAGAGCAGCCGTTCAAGGTCCCAGCACCAGAACTACCGCAGTAAACAAAGATGGACGACATGACGGCTCCACTAAAGTGAAGCCAAAGTGTCTCGATCGCCCCCTGGTGGCTGACTGCAGTGTAGGACATAAACCAAAAACCTTAAATGATTATTCAGGATGTTTCTGTCGTTTCAGGTCGTTCTGATCTCACTGATGTTTGTTCGAGTGTTTCTGATCCGCTTGGTTTAAGTGGAGACGTGTCGTCCATCTTTATTTACGGTTTATTGTGTCATGAGTCAAACTAAAACAACAACGCTCAGAAGTTTCGAATGAATCTAATCAGACTTCACGTCTCTTCTCTGCTGCAGATGGAGATTCAGTGTGAACAGAGTCGGTTCCGTGTGTTTGTGGACGGACAGAAGCTGTTTGACTTTCAGCACAGACTCACGTCACTCAGCGCCGTCGACACGCTCTGGATCAAAGGTCACGTCAGCGTCACCAAACTGGCGTGAAAAGACGTCGCTGTCGAACACGATCGGCTGTTTGAGCCACGAACGACCAGGACTCGTTGTCCGATGTTTACATCGAGGACAGTTTATGAAAGTAACTTGGTTTATTTACCTTTTCTGGAGGTTCAGTTTCTTCACAAACTGAATTTTCTGCAGATGAAACAAAAGAACCTGTAAAATATGATGATTTGTTTTTGACTAAATGTTTCATGTGATGATTTAATAATTTTCTCTTTAATTATTTGAATCTCTTTCATTCTGAGCTCCAGATTATCATTGGGACGAAGTTGATTTCATGTGATTATATTTTTTGTTAATCTTAATTTTATGAAGCTGCTAATGTTCCTGTGGTGCAGCGGTTTGACCACAGGGGGGCAGCAGATGTCGGGTTGGACCAGGTGAAACCAGAGGAAACAAGATGGTGGGAGATTGTTTTCTGAAATATCACTTCATGTTTGAACAGAGACAACAGACAGTGTTGGGGGTCACAGAGTCGTCTGTCGTGCGTCTGTTGTGCGTCTGTTGTGTGTGATTGTTGTTTGTTGTGAGTCGTTGTCGCTCAGACGCTGCAGCTTCACTGAGCTTCTTCAGTTTCATGGAGTTGCTCCAATATTATCACCTGCTGCCTCCGCTCATCTATTATACATCAGAGCTACAGTTCACTGACCCGCCATAGTGTGTGTGTGTGTGTGAGTGTGTGTGTGTGT